AGCAAATTACTATAAAATTTATATGTAATAATTGAATTTTTAGCAAATTTATTTGATTTTAGAGGTAGCAAAAACCCTAAAATTTATGCAGATCAGTTATGACCTATATTGAAGATGTCCGGGGTCCTGCAATAGTGAACTACTTGTGTATAGTAAGCTATGCCTCAGGTTAGATAGTATTTATTGGTTTAGAAGTAAATTATGGTCAGAGGGTTTAAATAGGTACCCCCCTAGTTGGAGTACAGGTATGGCAGATAGTGTAGAACCTTTGGGTGGACTACTTAAATTAGACACCCAAAAGGTGCATGCATGGCTATATATACCCTTACTGTAATTGAAAAACAAAACTATCTAATAAAACGTTTCCTAGCCAAAGAAATCACCTTAATACCAAAAAAAATAATAATAATTTTATTAGTAAAATTATAAAAAATACTATAATTTTTAAAATTTTACTTTATGTAAATTAATTCAATATATAAATTTATATATATAAGATTCAAACTTGTTTAAACCCTAAAAAAAGTTTGAGTTTGAGTTTGATTTAAAATCAAACCCAAATTCAAACTTGGCAAAAGTTTGATTTGATTTGATTTAATAGGAACTCTAGATCAAGATCATAAACAAATTCCTGAAATAATTCCTTTGATACAAGATTAAGTGGCATATTTTCATGAATGATAAATTTTAATAAAGATCAAATAAGAAAATTATTCTTGGGTTTTGGATGAATTTTGGAATTATTAGTTGAATTATCCTAATAAAAATAATAGATCAAAGAGTTGTATGATATAATATAGCAACAGTACTGTGATTCCATGTATTGAATAAAGATAATAAATAAGGTTTGAAGTTGATCCGCCCACAACTTTAATTTTTTGAGCACATCATACATTATCATCTTTCATTATTTGACATTCACCATACTGGGCTTCTTTGCCATCTTTATTGATTACTACAATTGAATCAAAATGCTGCCAAACCCAGGATTGTTTTTTAGACCTATCACGTACATCTAATTTTCGTTTTTTAGAATTATTGGCAACAGCCTCCTCTATATTTGATTTTTGTTCTTCACAAACTGGAATATTAATGTAATTCGATTCATCCTCTTCATTATTAAAAGAGAACTCTATGGGAGCTTCAGCAAAAGAAGCAATATTTTCGTTCAATATTGAATCAAATTCCATGTTTTTAATAACGTCAATTTGAAATTTTAAAAATTTATTAAAACAAAAATTATGAACTCATTATTTATTAATAAATCACAAAATTTATCATTATCAAAACAATAGTTAAATTTAAATTTTGACCGATGCTCGATGATTGACCGAATTAAAAACTCAATAAATGAAGTTTATTTCGATGCTCGAAATTTCTAGGTTTAGCTGTCTTTATCCTGTTCTCGGTTACCTCCAATCAGTTAACTGTCTACAGTAGAAGTATGTCAGTTTTGAAATCTTTTTTTGCTAGTGAAATATGTTTTCAAAAAGCTTATTGATAGTTACCCGGTCAATTTGTTTACACTAGCCCGATCAGACGAACTTCATTCCATGATCTCATTTTAAAGTTGTCGCTATTCGGAAGTTATACTATACAAGGTCATTATAATATTGATATGAGATCAAAAATTAGCATGATAATTGACCTGAGAAATAAATGCTTTAATATAACATTAAAAACCCATAAAATTGCCGGCTGATGCCAGACGCAAACAAATGGTTACCTTTACAAGCAAGGACGGTCACCGGCTGATGCCAGGCATGAACACGTTCTGCTTGTACTTCTACCACAACTGTCGGCTGATGCCAGGCACAGTGTGATAGGGTTGTAAAGAGAGATTTCACAGGCTAAGTGCTTGCGTGATTATCTCAACTTCACACTTCCACAAGCAACCACCGGCTGATGCCAGACGCAGTAGTCGTGGGTCGGAAAACCTAAAAATGTTGAGGGAAAGAAATGCTATCAACGGCGTGCAAACTCTGATTTTTTTCGACAAACGGTATTTGGGAATTTCTATTTATAGGATAACTTTCTCGTGATTGGTTGATCACGTAAATTGAATATCGCGTCATGATTGGTTATTTTGCAGATCATGTGCCAACTGGCCAATCAAAATTTTTTATTTATTAATAATACAGCATTATTGATTTCGTATACGTACTAACTAAAAACCTTGAATTCACATAATACGTACGTACGACATACACGACAACTCAGTATTACGTAGAAATAAACTAAACGAATTAATACGATGTAATTTAGACAGAAAAATTATACGTATGTCGCCATATAAATTATAATAAATAAAATTTTTTATTAAACGTCAAAAATACGCATCCCACAATACATAATAAAACTATCTTAAATATAGACCACGAATGAATAAAATAGGACCTGTTTATTACTTTAAAAAAAAAAAAATTAAACATAAGTTTTTTATTGCGTCCTCAAATAGTACTAAAAACCTCAGATCTGGGCATTAATTTTAGGATCCCGAAATATAAAACTACTTACTAACGTTTCTTCATATCTAAACAAAGTTTCGAGCGTCATAAACTATTTTAGTTTAATATTATTATAAAGTTATTATATATTTTAAACTCTTTTCTCAAGCAAGCTAGTGTGAGCTAATTAGGAACTTTAACACATATATTTATTATACATTACCATTTTTCTAGCTTAAAATTCGTCTATAAGTGAAGTATACCTGGGTAGAGTGAATCCAAGAGATACCCAAGATACTTAAAGCTTCGTTCGCAAAGAGTCTTCCATAGTATTATAAACGGGGGTTACATTTTTTTTAAAAAAAATTTACTAAGTTAGGGGGTAAAAGTACTCTAAGGGCATTCTCAAGTATCTACCTCAATGGACTCAATAGCGAATCTGATTGGTCTGTTTGATCAAACTAGCCAATCAGATTCTTTATTGAATTCATTGAGGTGAACGCCCTAAACTGTATAAATTCGATTGAATAAAATTGACCAATCACGAGAAAGTTAGCCTATAGTCTGTGTAGCGGAGAGTGAAAATCATATCTATATTTGGACGTTTCCTCCTGTTCAAAAAAATCAGCTAAAAAAATCATATGATCTTTAGCCGCATTAGCCAGCCGAACATACCGTATACGACGGGCCAAACCACCCCCCTGTCATAAAATAATTATCGGACATGCGGATATTTAAATAGTGCATATGATAGTTTATTTATGTGTAACAGTACATAATGATGTTATATATATAAGAAAAAAATAAAAAAAAAAGCAGACAAAAATTATTCTGTGAACTGATATGCACCAGTAAAATATCGGCATAATTCGACAGGGGGGTGGTTTGGCCCGTCGTATACGGTATTACATTGGCTGGCTAAGCCAGCTTAGCCGCGGCTGCCAAAGCCGGCTTAAATCACTATACATAGTCAAAAATGAAATTAAATACATAGTAAATATTCATAGGCTTAGAAAAGCTTATTTACAGCTGATTTGAAAATTAGTGGGACACTTGAAAATTTTGCTTGTTTCCCGAAACCTTTCGGATTCGTCTTATGAATCATCTAGCTCTTCGGAAATCACATCATAATTTTCGGATCGAAGATCCGAAGACAGTGACGTGATTTCCGACGAATCCGAAAGGTTTCGGGAAACAAGCAAAATTTTCAAGTGTCCCACTAATTTTCAAGTATTCTTTAGGCTCGCTGACTAAAATTAAGCCCCTGAAGTTAGATCTTCATACATATAATTCTGGTTATATCAATTATATATCTAAAGTTGCAACTTCAGATAGATAGTAACTTTAGATACGACAGTATCTGGTATATTAACAAGGGATTATATTAAAGTTAATATATAAAAATTTGTAAAAATTCATCTTATAGCTTAGGTTGATATTAACGAGGGTAGTTTGTGTTTCGAAATAAATGGTCAATAAATCGAAATTTTGAATTTTGAATCGAAATAATATTTTGCACCAATGATCGGCTAAGCCACATTGACGTCCAATAGGAAAATATTGGGAAAATTAGCAAATGTCTATCGCTATTATGAAACCTAAAAAGCTTGTTCTATTTGCTTTGTTATTGTTGTCATGGGTATACCAGGGTTCTTTCGATGGCTGTCTTCGCGATATCCTCATATAGTTGAAGCGGTAAAGAAAAAATCCAGAAGCAAAACTGATTTCTTGTACCTTGATATAAATGCCTTATTTCACGTTGCGCTTAGAAATATGGAGAAAAAAGCTTCAAAATCGAATTTCACATCCCGCCGCATGTTATCAAGAGTTTTTAAGGAAATGGATATTGCGTTCAATGTTTGCAACCCTCAAGTATTAGTATACATTGCAATGGATGGTGTTGCACCAAGAGCAAAAATGAATGAACAACGATCGCGAAGATTTTTATCCCGGGAGGGGTCTCGTATAACAGAAGAAAGTGATACATATTTTGAAGACTCATCTATTAAATATGAGCATTCACAATTAACAGCTCGTGCAAAAAACTCTTCAGGATTTTTCGTTCCAGTAGATAGCGCATCGATATCATCAGGAACCGAATTCATGCAGGCTGCAAACGATGCAATTAGATATTATATATACCAACGTTTGAATGGTAGATTCAAAAATCTTCAAATAATATTTGATGATTCCAGTGTGGCCGGTGAAGGCGAGCATAAATTATTTCGATTTTTAACTGCGCAACGTAATCATCCAGGATATAACACAAAGTATCGGCATGTAGTTTGTGGTTGCGATGCCGACTTTATCATGTACGCTCTGCTTACACACGAACCTAATTTGCGTATATTACGTCCTGGCTTAAAAGGGAATGATGTCATTCTTAACATCAACAGACTTCGCAAACACATAATTCGCGATATGGTGGTGCAAGTAACGTCAGATATTGAAGAAGACAAGGTTATCGATGACTTTGTTTGCATTGCTAATTTGCTTGGTAATGATTTTATTCCACGAATTAAATGTCTAGGAGAAACACGTGTTGATATCCTGTTCCAAGCTTACCAAACATATTTTAATCAAGTTAAATCTTATATTACTAACAATGGTAAAATAAACATTTCTAATTTCCTTAAATTTTTCGAACATCTAAAGTCGAAACCTGATCGTTTAAGAAGAAGTTCTGATCTTATGTATGAGGAAAGAAATATTACAGAAATAGCAAAGAGAGCAAATGATTATATAAAGACAATTTGTTGGGTATTTCAATATTATAATGGAGATTGCCCAAGTTGGAGACATTTCTATCCACATCATAGATCACCAACCGTTCAGGACATACTAAAGCATGTGAAAACAGCAAACTTTGATCAAACTTTTATCCCAGACACCCCAATACGACCTTTTGAACAATTAATGTGTATACTTCCTCCTAAATGCAATTACCTTGTTCCAGAACCTTTCAGACCTCTGTTTACTGATCCACAATCACCAATTTATGAATTCTTTCCGAAAAAATTCAAGGTATTTAACAATAAAGCCATCTTGCCATTTGTTGACGAAGCGCGTTTGATGCAAGCCATGGCACCAGGATATGCTCTATTGAAAAAGGAAGAAGCCGAAAGAAATTCTATAAACGGAAGAGTTCATATATACGCTGGATGTCAATCAACAACATATGCAACTCTATTTCCTCTTTGCACAAGTAAAGGTAGTAAGTCTGCTTTACCCGTAACATCGGTAGTATTTGGGAAATTATCTTATTGTGGACCAATGTTAAAGTTTATCAAAGCACCTGTTGATGAATTTAACAAAATCAATCATAACTTGGTTGCTACTGCTGAGTATCAGTTACCTGGTAAGTTACCAGAAGCTACTAGCTATACAACATTAAATCAATTAAAGAGTGCTACCAACGATTTACAACCAAATATGCCATCATTCTCGTACCAGCTAAAACAAGCTCACACTACTAAACCATACGGGAGAAGAATTGCATATACTAGTTAATTGTTTAGAGAAATTTTAAAAGCACATGGGAATTAACAACAAATAATACTTAATAAACTAGTTATAATATGGAAGGTTGTATTTAAATAATTAAATTATTATTATAACGATACGTATATCGAACGATTTTAATTATTATAAAACTTTATTTTATTTAGGAGCTAAATTTATTTTTAGTCATAAATGTATATATATAGAGTAAATTCTAATATAATTTTGGCTTTTTAATATTTTTAAACAAATAGAGTTTGGAACCGGATTCGACCTTCGAATTTAAATCCGATTTAAATTTGGATATAAAATCGAATCTACCGAATCTGTATATAATATATGACCACCTATAGAATTTATATGATAAAATAGTTTTAAGTGATCGAATGTTTTATCACTGAATGTATGTATGTACATACATACAATGATGCTACTATTGTTATTTTTTTGAATATGACCAATAAAGTAATTGTTGGAATAAATTCGGATTTACAACTGTTTTCATAAACTGATAAAAATTATTTAGGCCGAATTCAATAAGTTTTTGAATTCGGTGTTATCGGAATTTGATTTCGGCGAATTCAAAAACTTATCGAACTTATCGAATTCGGCTGATCAATTTTATCAGTTATGAAAACAGCTGTAAATCCGGATTCAAAAATAAAATCCGGTTAAACAAATACTAGAAAACAAGAATTTATTTAGAAATCACCGGTGACGAATTCACCAGTATATATAGTGATAGATCTCAAATTTTAAAATTTAATTAATTAGACTTTAATATTAGAATTATAGCTTAGACTAAAGTTAGAGATTAGGTTTTTTATGGTGCTGATGATTGTTTACTTTATCAATTAAAGCCGTTTTTGCAAACCTAGTTTTTTTTTTGTGAACGCTTCTAATTATTCGAACATCAATTATATCGGCGTTAATTTTTAAACCCGGTTCAATATCGTTACACAAGAATGGGTTGTTGCACAGCTTATAACATATAAACCCAAATAAATAACGATTTTTTTTTTCAATTATGATGGCGGTAAAACGAGTAGTATCTCTTTTACCTTCGGCTGCAGAAATTGTTTCATTGATTATTGATAACAACCCATCTGTTCAGCTTGTCGGAAGAAGCCATGAAGACGATTATCCTCCTTCTGTGAATACTTTACCGATCCTTACTGCGCCAAAGTATTGAATTTAAATGTTGAAATTTAATGACGGAATTAAGCCACAATTTATACAATTTCATAATTCCTTTAATTCGGGTAACTAGAACTAAGTTTACCACATCCGCCGATGTTGACGTACAAGTATCCAATCTTCTCGCTGAAGGAAATAGCCTTTATACTTTGGATACCGCTTTACTGAAAAGTCTGAGGCCAGATATTGTTATAACGCAGGTCCGATAATTTCTCAATCGCAAGCAATCGAAACTCGAAATCAGCATATTTATTGCGGTTTATGAAATTTGATGATCAAAAAAAAAAAAAAGAAATCGATTTCCGATTTTTTTAACATTTTTTTTAGACTTTTAGATTAGACCTTATTGCAGTTTGCATAATTTTGTGACCCCTATGATTAATTTTTTATATGATTAAATGATTGTGATTGCGTTCGCAATTGTTAAAGCCGGTCATAAATCTGAGCTTGACACAAACTCAGATTCATGATAAATTGGCTGGCTTTAGTAATCGCGATCGCAATCACAATCATTTATTCATATAAAAAATTAATCAAAATTATGCAAACCGCAATAATATGCATAAGATTTATAAATATAATAAACTCAAATCTAATATAGTTATTAAAATTATGTATATTAAAGCCTAATCTTAAAGTCCAATCTAAAAGTCTAAAAAATGTTAAAAAATCGGAAATCAGAATCAGAAATCATCGATTTCTTTTTTTTTTTTTTGATCATCAAATTTCACATATTTTTGCAAACCGCAATAATATTATACTTGCTAGCAAAATCCGGACAAATCCCAAAACCAAAAATAATTGCTACTTATAAACAATCAAGTCAAAATTTGCAAATATATTATACATAATTATAAGAATAATGTTATTTGTTTGAATAAAGATTATAATTTTATAATTGAAATTTTGTCAGCAAGTATATATATTTAATCTAGCTCGTAATGATCTTTAATGCTTCTATTAGGATCTATGCACTGTTTGTTCGATTGATCTAGTTACAGTACAACGTATTGCAAAACAGATTGATCCAGGTACTAAAAAATCTTCCCAAACAAATTACTAAAAAACTCGTTAATTCAATATTATAATTTTCTGTTTGTAGAACCTACTATAGTAACACTAAATCCTTTGTCTATAGAGGTGACTTGAAGACACCAACTTTTTAAATCAACTCGGGATATCACGAATATCTTCTTTATCAATGTTGCTTCACTTTAAATATTAGGACGTTATATCATCAATTTCTGATGTTGGAAAAGCATTGGGGATGATTGAAGAATCGTCCAGGGCGATATCAATGCTTAGGTCACGTATTAATCATGCACGGGACCTAGTTAATCGAAGTATTGCGTCAGGTAGAAAACGTTCAAAAGTGGCATTTTTTGAATGGACATCACCTATATATCTTGGTGGCCATTGGACTCCACAACTGATTCGATGGAGTAATGTAATTTAATTTATAAATTTTTAATGCTCTATATTTCAATCGCAACATAATGATCATTATGGATTTTTTTGCCTTACAGGGTATACAAGTGTTGGCAGATTGCAAAGATGGCGACACCGCTGAGATGGGTGCTCCCCCTTCGTGCGTTGAGTATAAATTCAATTTGAATTTTAATTCCTGGCATATTAAATTTATTATCAAACCTCGGCTACTTAAAAGAGTTCGTGTTCCTCCGGAAGACGTTATACGCGAAAAGCCCGAGATTCTCATAATCTGTCCATGCGGGCTTAATCTTGATGCTACTAGAAAAGAGTACGAAGAAACACTGTTGCCTTCAAACTGGTGGCCTCCACTTGCAAAATGTGCTTCGAAAATTGCGTTGGTGGATGGAAATCAGGTTTGATAAAAATCAGAACGTTATCATTTTTCATATCGTATATCATGATAATAATTGATTTATTGCGATTTGCAAAATTTGATGATCAAAAAAAATAATAAAATCGATGATTTCTGATTGATTTCCGACTTTTTTAAATTTTTTTTTTAGACTTTTAAATTAGACTTTAATATTAAGCTTTATTATACATAATTCTAATAACTATATTAGATTTGAGTTTGTTATACATATTTTATAAATCTTATGTATATTAAAGTCTAATCTAAAAGTCTAAAAAAATGTTTAAAAATTTCTTTTTTTTTTTTGATAATAAAATTTCACATTTTTGCAAACCGCAATAAATCAAAATCGATAATAGTCGATTATGATTAAAAGCGATTATAATCGATTAATTTTATTATAATCAATAAAAAATCTTTATCGCGTATAATCGGCGGGGTGATAATAATCGATTAAAATCATCAGATTTTAATCGACTACAATCAGTTTTCAAAATTTCCTGATGATATCCTTATTATTTTCAACAATTCTTCATTCAGATGTTTAATCGATCAGGTCCTCGTGAGTCATATTTTGCTTAGAATTGTATTTGTATTTGTATTTGTATATGTAGTCATTTGACCAACTCATTTCCATTCAAATTAAAGGCCTAGTAGACGCGCTTGAATGGTTGGTTGGATACATTAACGACATTCCGGAAATCATTCCTAAAAATTTTCCCTGGGAAAATTTAAAGTCTTAATTTTTTTTTCGAAAATTCCACATTCTAACGATAACGCAATAATGCTTTACAGAAAGCAGTACAGCGGAATCATGATTTAGTCAGATTGCAAGTTATGCATTGTATTTGACTTATCTGGCTACAATTTTTGGAAAAGTGATTTTTATTTATTTAATATTTACCAACGATCGAAATGCTTCTTTTATACACGAATTACTTCAAAAATTTAGCACGTTTTTAACCAAATGTTAATATCATGTCCTATGTGTAGATAAATGAAACACATAAAAAGATACACCCGTAAATAGTGCTCTTAAATACATAGCATCAATCTTTGAACCTGGATATACTTGACTAAAGGTTTTAAATTTTTTGAATAATTTAAAGTTTAATATTACATTATTAAACGCACGCATATTTATTTAATGAATCGGTGGTTTTTGAGTTTGACACTATTTACCAAAAAGGGATATATCTTTGGGTAAGTAGAAATGCCAATTTCCCAAACGCAACCAAATAGTAATGCTGTAATTTAAGAAAAGGGTTGGTCACAACTCTAGTGAGGCGGTGCATATCTAAACAATAAAAAAATCTTAGCATTTAGTACGTTCGCGAGATACATAGTATCCTCGTCTCATAAGTTGTTGATTTAAATACTTACACAATCTTCCTTGTCTTCAAGGTTGCAAACCTGGCTCGTTTTAACCAAACCGATAAAGCGGTCAAAATTGATATAATGATAATTGCTTTGACTCCCATTTTTTTACGTTCATCGTGTTCAGGCTCTGCAGCCCATGCAAGAAATGTTGTGACATCCTTGGCCATCTGAGATGTGGTCGCAGGAGTACCTAATGAAATTACGATATTCGATTTCAGCTGTTAAGACAATAAGAGTAAAATGATGATAATTATTATGCCACACCATCTTCATATTCAACTAATCCGTCAAATAAAGCTCTTGCCATTGAAATTGCACCACCGGGGAAATAGGGATTATAATATAAACCCTCGCGAACTTCGACACCGGCTGGCGCATCCATATAACCAGTTAAGATAGAAAATAAATAATCCTGCGTTCAAACGTGTATTAGCAATTATTGTTATCGTTTATTCAATTAGTGCAAATGAATCATATGATACACACAGCACCACCGTGACGGGCCTTAATCATTAAAGAAAGATCGGGAGGGAGAGCTCCAGCATTGCTTGCACGAGCAGCTTCGTCGTTAGGATACGGACGTGGCATATAATCAGAGGGTTTTCCAGGTCGTTGGAAATATTCACCCTCATCGTTTGGCCCATCTGTGTATTCTACTTCTTCAGCCATTGCTTTTACTTCATCTTCGGTGTGTGACACGCCAATTAAATTACGCCACGCGATGCGATCGAGTGAATGACATGCGGAACAAACTTCTCTGTAGACCTGATACCCACGACGTATGCTTTAATTTTTGTCGAATCCAAGATTGTATTAAAATGGTAAATCATCGACTCTTGGCCTTATATAAGAGATATATATATATATTTTTTTTTTCTTTTTTTTTTTTTTAGACCAGTATTTATATGACCCTCCAAAGATATAAATTGATGATACTTTTCATCATGATCAACCGTCTTTTAAATGGTTGAACACAGCCAGGTATATACTCATTGATAGAATAATCTCCAAAACGACCTTCACGCTTGATAATATCTAGATATAGCATCTCTCACCTGGCATGATCAAAAGTACTAAACGGACCTTTATGAGACCAAGGATACGCTGGTGGATGAAGACCTTCTTCGGCCTCGTTGGCGTGGATAGGATTAGCGAAAAAATAAAAACCGACACCCGTGACCGCCGCTAATGACGTTGCCAAGATAACCTTTGTGTTATAGCTGCTAAGCGAGGCCATTTTCGTAAATGGCGAATGACGAAACCCCCTGGCGAAAGGCAAAACCTCCTTTTCAACAGAAATCTATTGACGCATATACAAAAAAAAAAGAAAAAAAAAACAATAGTAACTAACTTACTAACCTGTGCATTAGTCTTAACCCATTGTTTTAAAGGCCTCTTCGTAGCTTGACTAGAAAGCCTTGTGAACATAGTTTATTTTACAAATAGAGTACGAGACTCGCAACTAGAACCAAGCCACTTCATGATAAAAAAAATTATCGGATTAGATGTCAGATTTGCAAAATGCATGGATAACGAATAATGTTTAGTGGTACAGTACTGCTATACGATATAAATAGGCATATATTACTTAAACTCTTAAGGCATTTTTCAAGACTATATATAAAATGTCCGATCAATCTACACCGATTGACAAACCTCAAAGTCCTACCACAATAGACGCAGAAAATGATAAACGTTTTCAAATAGAATTAGAATTTGTTCAGTGTCTAGCGAATCCGTGGTATCTCAATAGTTTGTATTGAAAGTTCAAGCATTTCATGATTTAGGCTACGTTTGATCAATAAACCGAATAAATCGTACTCAAGTTTTTTTTTATATATGATATCAATCCAGATCTCGCGCAAAGAGGATTCTTTCAAGATCCTGCATTCCTTAACTACTTAAAGTATTTGAAGTATTGGCAGCGTCCCGAATATGCAAAATTCGTAATGTAAGTAATAACATCTTAATTCAAAGATTCTATGTAATATTTAGTAGCTTCATAATATTTATGTAGCTATCCGCACGCTCTTTACTTCCTCGATCTATTGCAAAATCCGAGATTTTGCGAAAATTTAAGAAATCGGGACCATGCAACCAAAATTTCTCGCGCACAATATTACCATTGGTTTAAATGGAGAAATTAGATCAGTAGATTTGTAAGAAACACTACGTAGCATATAATTGCATGTAGCCATATTCAATAATTCTATAATAACTCAAAATTTTACTAGGGTAACCCTGTTGTGTAACTAAGTAAAAATGCTCCTCTCGCAATTTTACCCTAACCCAAGGACGATGATTTTATGCGGCAATAAACTATCAATTATGCATGCAACAAAGTAATTATGCACTTTTATGCACATATGTTTTTTATTAATTATGTGAGTATTTTGCACCCAAAATTTATAATCATGCTATGTCTTACACATAAAATGCGCCATTTTATAACTAACTTAGTATGAACGAAATAGTTCGGAACTTACCTCCAATTTTTTTCTTGACCTTGCTCGTAATTTGTGTTGATTGATTTTCTTTTCGGAGCAGCACTTAGAGCCAATTATACGATAATTACTTAATATATAGTGCCACATTTTATGCGGCAAATCTAACCTGTTATGCGTTTTCAACTATATTATACAGTTTATGCGGTTTTATGTGATTTGCATCGTCCCTGCCCTAACACCAATATTAATAGCTGCAAAATTTTTTTATAAAAAAACTATATTTGATAGTACGGCTACATGTAGCCTATGGCAACAAATAGATTAATTCATATTTTTTTTATTAATTTGATTGATAATGATCGCACTTTTATCCTCATAAATTAGCCAATTAAATGAATGTCTTTCTATGAAACCCAACTTTACGCGCGACATATCTAATCAATCATCACCAGATTGAACCGAATTTCACAACATTTTAATCAAAGATTGGCTGTTCTCAGGCGGCTTCCTCAATGTAATTTGCTAGTAATCGGGATGTCACTCAATAATCTCGATTGTTTCACGATTTATTTTTTTAGCCAATTAGAACATTCTATGAACCATATAGGAAGGCGTTTGAGTATATTTCAAGCAAGTAAAAACTCGAAGTTCAGTGCAATCCTGCATTTGACTTACTCAATAATAACTATTCTCATTGGAATTGGTTCTTTCATTTTCCACAAAAAAAATGTAATAAGATAATCCAGTGAATATATAAGAATAGAAAAATAAAATTTCATTAGAAGAACTCAAATCCCAGAAGCACTATTAAAAGTCTTCAGAAAATGCGCCAATAATTTATTTATTCACGATCAGCAGATTCGACCCTGACCAGACCTAATGTACCGCCAGACGCAATCCATGTACCTGCATTAAGATTTGGATTCCATGCTATCTATAAAATAGGATTGAACATTAATTTCAAGTGAAGCGAATATACCCTCAAAAAATCATATGTTGGGATAAACTTACACGCTGAATAGACACTTCCGGCTTAAAAAAGTGACTAAAAGCTTGCGAGGTATGGTATGTAACAGTTGTTTCCTATAGTTATAGGATGCATATAAATGAATATGAAAAAAAATATACTGATCAATAACCCAACGAGATTGATTACCTGAGATTTAATATTGTCCCAAAACAAAACAGTTTTTTGGTCTTCGTCTAATCCAATACGGTATAAAGTCACTTGTATCGGTTTCTGCGAAGGATATAGAATATGAAAACCCATGAATAAAGATGATAATTTCAAGCTGAAAATAAAGAATATGTAAAGAATGATGTCAACCTGATGCCTATCTCTTAATCGACAAATATTTGCCATTTTTACTGTACCATCTGCTGAACAACTCGCCATAAATGGGTGAAAATAAGACGCCGCTATTCTCTATTTGAGTAACAGTACAATTGTTAACTAACATATAATAAATTAATTAATTACACATTATTCATATAACATTGACTTACAAAAACGTTAGCATGGTGCATAATTAGTCCGGTTGTCTTTTTCAGGTCGTCCATACGGATATATCTTATTGTGTTATCAGTATCTGCAAAGGCGATTCCGCCATAATGACACGGCCAACACGCAGTCATCATGAATGCTGTAGTGAATCCGTTTTTAAATTATATAGTTTAAAAAGTTTTAACAGTTGAAATTTTACGAAAATATATTATATTTAATTACAAACCTCTAATTCGCTGAATCATGTTTTTAAACCATGGCTCACGTTCATTAAAAATAAGCAATCTACCATCGTGTCCACAACTCAAGGTGTGGCTAGGATTTTCAATAGAATTCCATGTTATTTGACGGATACACGAATCATGAGCTCGGAAATATCGAATCGGGACAACTTTGTTAGGAGGAAAAAAAAAGAGGTTGTAATCACAAATACAGTTGTAAAATGACCATAAAATATTAAATTAATTTTGATATACCTTCTGAATCATTAAGAGTCTCATTCGTGGCATTAGATGTTAAAATGTCTTCAATATCCCATATTGCTATATCGCCTAGATAAAATAACGAAATTAAAGATAAGGAAAATTTGTGTTAAGTCATTAATTCGCTAAATTAAAGAAAACAACTACCATTAGTGCAGCCGGTGGCAATTTTTTTGTGACCACCCCAACTAACGGTCCAACAAAGAACCTGAGGTAACGAGAGAACCAACAATGGGTTCGAAAATTTTACTATATTGTAAGTAATAATATTAGAGAAAGAACGATAATGTATATAAAATTAACCCAAAAAACAATTTAGGATTCACCGTATAGTGGTTCTTGAGACAAGTTAAACTTATGTCGTACATAATCTGATTGAGGGATAGCAAATATTCCAATAGATCCGTCACTGAAAGATGCCGCAAGCATTCCCAATTTTGGGATGAAATTCTCAGATTGACCTTCGAACGCATCCTATAAAATAGGTACACACAATTAATCAAGTATATAAACAAATATTTATAAATTACAATTTTTACCTCGCAATCATCTTGAGCTCCATAAGGACACCATTGTAAATCAAAAGTACATCCATATTCATGACAAATAACTATGTCCAATTTTGGATCCTTTATGGAAGTGGCATCATCTTGACAATCTATCTTCCAAATTTGTATCGCGTAATTCACATCGTTTTTTTGGCGCCGGGCAATATAGTGATGTTCTTCGGTAGTTGACTTGTAACCACCTATAGCCAAATATTGATTATCTTTACAAATAATCAGTCATTATTAAATATAAATATAAAATTAAATGGAAATCACTTTAAACTACAATGAGTTAATAGTTAATATAGTTACGTTGATTTTGTTTATTAGGACACCAATCCATCGCCCAAATAGATCCACCAACATTGAAAATGTGACCTACTTTACGAGGCAGCTTATTGTCTAAAGCGTGTACACGAATATTGTATCCATGAATACATAAAAATTAATAAAGAAAAAAAAAATACATAAGAAAAATACATATGGGGTTTTGGCTAGGAAAATGACCTATTGGGACCATCGAACAAACTTTTTTTTTTATTTCGTAGAGCTCATTAGACTTTGAGATGAAAAAAAAAATACTCTAATTGGATCATTGAACGGCTAACAAATTAATATTTTGTTCAGAAAATCCACATAGTTCCGAAGGTCATTTTCCTAGTAAAGGCCCCATAGAGTATTACCTACTCAATGAACAAGATTCCAATTGTGAAACTCGAATTGGATCTGAATTTGCCAATACGATAGAAAATGGATCTCGTGAATGCGGAAGATATGTTTTTCCTATGCTAATTTTGGTCAAGTTATTGAGCAAATGAAAAACCTTTAAAAGCAAAAAATCCAGCATTCATTTAGTTTTATATGCTTACTTTTCAGGTAATATTTCTAATTCGTTTTTTTTTATTTTGACAAATTCATATACATTTTGTGGCAATGACTCGAAGTTAACGCCGACAGGTTGTAATAATCGCTTTTTAGGACCAAGCACAACATCTTCCCAGTCATCATTGAAAATTTCACCGATATCTCCACGACTGGGGTTAGCACATTTCTTTCGTTTTGACTGACTTCGATTAGTAGCGGGTGTCTGGTTTAAAGATGCAGACATTTTCTTAAGAAATCACACACTAAACTATTATGTAAGTTGTGTACTACATAAATCAGATGCTACGTCTTTAAAGTCATATGATTAGTTCGATTACTCTATAGATATAACTATATATATATATATATATATATAAAATCGAAATTACTTTTCCTATTAGACGCAGTTGTTTTAAACTTAACTTACGCTATCGTTATGCTACCTTACCAATTAATGTCTATATCCCATGATTCATTGTAAGACTTTTTTGTCTTGTAGTCTGCGTTTCTTATATTTTGTGTGAATCTTTTACTACAGCATATACAGTATATTACAGTATACAGTATATCGATACTACTGTATATTTGAGAATGCAAATAAACATTATTTTTTTATAATGTGGATTCTCAATTTTCTCTTGTAATGAGAATTTTCGATTAGGAGGTTTTAGGATGTGTTTTATAAAGTGATACGTAGCAAGTATGCCTTAGAACATAAATTATATGACTTCATAAAACAGTATATAACGATATATAATATGTAAAATAACTTAAATAGAACGGTGAGACAAGTTTTTTTAAGAACCTCGTGTTACCACACGCATGGGCCCTTATAAATTTGATGTTTGATAGGTGATGTGTGAATATCTATCTCTCTTACAATCATGTCAGCTAATTTACAGGTTCAATGGGCGTGCGAACGTTGTACCTTCATAAACGAAGTAAGCATTGATGTTTAATACCCTTAATATGACTGACAAATTCGTGGCTCATTCTTTTTTGTCTTTAAGGGTTTGAATTTGACGTGTACAATGTGCTTTTTAACAAGGACGGATGCAAAAGATTTACCAGTTCAGGTACTGCTATATTTCAATCACATTAATTGATACGCATGTCATGCTTAATTTGCGATTGCGCGTTTATGATATTAATAGTGGGAATGGAGAGCCAATCCAGATCAATGGATCCCTTATGATTTAGCATCTTCGTCTGAACTAGAAAATGCATATCAAAACAATTTGGCAGTGCTAAACCCTAAACAAGGCTATTTTGCGTCAATACCTGATCGCTACGAAATTAGGTTTAATTATGCTACAAGGCGTTTTCAACAACAAAATATCACAAGTGGTGGTGTTAGAAGAATTAGAAGGATCGCGAATGGTAAGTTACTAATATCTATAAACTTTAATCTAAAAATACGATCTTGTCCTAATTAATTTTTTGTTTAAAGATGATAACTCCATTCTTCAGCCTGTCTCTTTCGAAGATGTGACGGCTGAAGACACATGTATTATATGCTTGGATTCTTTCGTTGACCCAGACACTACCACATCGGATCAACACGTCGTCAAACTGCCCCCATGTCACGGACATTATTTTCATAGAGTATGTGTAGCTGGTAAGTGTTTGAATTAGCTATTATGTTGTTGATTTGACCATTCATTATTATAAAATTAATTTTATTACAACTGTTAGCTGCGATTAAGTTGAGGGATGAATGCCCAATGTGTAAAAAAAGAGTCGATTATTAATCGTAAGTTAAATAGAATATCTTCTCGTTCTTTCGCCATTTGTTAATTAGCCAGCCACCTTGATTTGGAGATAAAGCAATCATCTTTGGCTTTTTTTTTTTTTTTGGAGGGAGAGAGATCCAACATTAGTTTTCTCTAGAAGAGTATATATTATAATCTATTATTTTTACTATATTTAAAGGTTACGAGGCTGAATAAATTGTTGATGTGATATTTTAGTGCTACTATTTTAGAGCCGAATTTTTCATGTTCGTGAGAAACATGCGTTTGGTAATATTTATTAAATTTATGCATTTGAACATTATATTTATAACCAAATACTGTATGTAACATTTCTTGTAATTTCAACATTCAACATTCAATTTGAAAATTTTTATAAGCAATATCTATAACTTCTTATTTGTGGTGTGCTAAATTTGACCAACTTCAGATTTATACTATTTATACATATGATGACCAATTTTCCAGACACGATAAGTAATTAACGACGGTTTGGAATAGACCGTAATGTCATCTAAGCTTCTTTACAAGTCATCTTAAAAGCTGGTATGCATAAAACAATTTGGCATATTATAAAACATTCCATTTGCCAAATTCATGCCACAGTCCACCCTGGCATGCCATAAGTATTTAAAGAATACTCTATAAGAGGTTTTCTCATTATAGCCAGGCCTATAAAAAATCACAACGGCAGAATCACAGTGACCTTTTTTAAAAAAAAAAATATGCTTATAAATAACAATACCTTAAATAGGTTTGTTGTTTTATGTGCAGGGACGATGATTTTCTGCGGTGCTATTGGGTCAATTCCGTCCGTGCTAAAATACAAATTCTGCAGATCATATTAGTAAATTCTGCACGATTACCGCAGTATTTTTATAGATTCTGCTTGATTTCTGCCATATTTTTTTCTATATTATAAAAAACATCAATAAGTTTATAAAGAAAGCGTAAAAAAAAAAAATTCAAGTGAAAAAAAAAATTGAAAGCATAAAAAAAGATTTAAAATATCTAAAATTTAGTTGCCATTGCCAATTAAATTATTATTGTTAAAGTATAACAAGTATAACATGTTTAAGCTTTGTAACGATTCTTCGCTTAAATTTTGCCGATTTGTATTTAAAATTGTGTTATACTTTGAAAGCTTCTTTCTGCTACGCAAGAAGAAACTGGTAACCAAATATAATCAAGCGCAATTTCGGATAAGCGAGGTAAAGAATCAGCTATATTTAACCAAAATTCATTTAATGTGATTTCTTTGAATGCCATGTTGTATTTCAACCCACAGTAAATTGACCATTTGTGTAATCAATTCTGGTATGATAGAATAATTGTGGAGATCTTTTCTTGTAATATTGCCAAGGTGAAAGAATTTTGGATTGAATACTTGAACAATGGTTTACCAGAATGAAAAGGAATGTGAGCAGAAAATTTCTGGTATGCAATATCAAAAGCATCATAAAAGATAGGATAGTATTTGGTCGGTTGAAAAGATTTTGATGAAATTAATATATCTAACTTTGAACCAAAATGTTCAGCATTCATATTAGTTTTAATAATATAAGCAGTAAGTTGTTTGAGCTAGTTTTCAACCAAAGAAAATATGGTTTTTTTTTGCTAAAAAAAATCTAGTGTGTGTATAAATTTGAAAGAAAAATACTAATAAAGTTAATGTTGCCACAGCCTTCTTGCACCAACGTGGCAAGGTAACATGGCATCCGGTGCAGGGACCTTACTGTTGGGGTGTACACGGGATGGAAGTGGAGTGCACTACAAACTCCACTAGCAGGAGGCAATGGTTCGGCATGGGGCCAGTATATATAGTTAATACTTTATTTATTATAGGTCAAGGAGGATAATCTCATCTACTAGGATTATCCTAGAGGGAGTATATCACTTTATACAAGATAAAAATAGTAAGAAGGTAGGATGAGAGGAGTAGAGAAAACTAACTAACTCTATCTAACTCTGACTTAAGTAGAAGGGGCAAAGGCTCCCTTTTTATAACTTTTCTACACATAGGAGGTATAACAGAATAACTGCCAAACCATGTAAAGGTAAACAGAGATACTCGAGTAAAAGGTACTGAGAAATACTTGTGTAAAGGTACTAAGAGGTACTTTGTATAAAGGTACTGAGAGGCACCTGTGTGCAGGTACTGAGAGGTACTCATGTGCAAGTACTGAGAGGTACTCATGTACAGGTACTGAAAGTACTCGTGTATAGGTACTGAGAGGTATTGTGTGGAGGTACTGAAAGGTACTCGTATGATACTTCTGTGCCTCATTTATCTACCCAATAAATCTATATAACTAATATAATATGATAACTATATAATACTAAATAATATAACTAATATAATAATACAATAAATGAACACGAGATATAGTAACTTAGTATAGTGGTCTAGTCGTCACCCTTTTCAAGTAGCAGGTCTAGAGTTCAAATCTCACTGGCGACAATATTTGAAAAATAGGCCTGTGTTCCTTGTGTTCGATTAATGGCTATGCTTATTGGTTGGATCTAGAACTTAATCTGTAACTTTGGTCACACTATCTAGAAATGGGAGCTTTGGTACAATAAATCTGAGGAACCGGCATAACAGAAAACCCATTTGGCAAGTCCCGAATTTGAAGGTAGCAATGATCAACAGTATTACAGAAGGGCTGAATTCAAACTGAGGCCCGAGATCGGAGAACCGAGCGACCAGATCTGCTAACGGAGGACACATTAGCCAAACTGCCGGATTGTCATCCCGGAGAAAAAAGGCATATGCTCCGAAAGTATGAACCAAGGGGAGGGGTCCTTCAGGCACCTAAAGTCTGAGCAGACCAACCCTTCCGGGTTGCCAGCTGGAAGTAAGAGATGGACCAGTAAAGAATCTGGGTAAGAAGACGGTCCAAATGTGGGTATCGGGGTTGTTGTGAACCAAATAAGAGCAAGGAGTACATAATGGGTGCCTAGTTAGGAAGGTTGGTGCTTGAAAAACGTCTGTAAAATGGCAGCACCCCAAAAGGTGGCATGAGATACACATACGGAATAGCAGATCAATATGTACTAATTAGAAAGAAGTTATAAAAATATGCAGATGAATACATGTATGGGACGTGTACTACTCTGTTAGGTTTACCTCGAGAATAAACTAGCCTATGTTAGTAAGTCCTAAAGTAGGGTGCAAAATCCAAATTGGGTAGATGCAAAATCCATGTATAAATGGTAAGTAATATCCATGGGTTAGAGGGCTAATGATGGTAGTTAGAACCAGATGGTTTAAATAGGTACCCCCATAGTTGGGGTGCAGGTATAGCAGATAGTGTGGAACTCTTAGCATAGCACTAACATTTTGGGCGAACCACTTAAATTAGGCACCAAAAGTGCACGTGTGGCTTGATATACCATCATTGTAATTACACTATAAAACATCATCTATACTCTAATAAAAAGTTCTCAGGCCAAAGTGGTCACCTTAATATCAAAAAAAAAAAAAACAATA